ATACGCTAACAATGGTGACCTTCGTGACTATTTAAGCAAGAATTTCTTGAAGTTAGATTGGGCTACTAAAATTAGAATGGCAAAAGAAATTTCTTGTGGGATTAATTTTTTACATAATGCAAATATGGTTCATCGTGATCTTGTAAGTTTTTTTAAAAAAAAAAAAAAAAAAAATTACAGAAATTTCTACAATTTTATATACATTTTATACTATATTTAATGTTACTTTATTATAGAATGATAAAAATATATTGGTGCACGACGATAAACTGATGATTACGGATTTTGGTATATCAAAATTATTGGAGAATGTCACAAAATCTCTTATGGCCGGAACACCTGCTTTTTCCGATCCACAATATCTTCAAAACCCATTCACATACAAACAAAATAAACATTCTGATATTTATAGTCTTGGTGTACTTCTTTGGGAGCTGTCGAGCGGAGTACCTCCCTTTAAAAATGTATCTGAAGATGAAATAACAATGTATGTAATTAATGGTGTAAGAGAGACTCCTATTAATGGAACACCAATTGACTTCGTGAATATTTATTGTGATGCTTGGAATAATGATCCAATATTACGACCTGACATAGCTGAAATTCGTCACAAATTAAATCATATACAATTGGATCCAATTCATTGTAATTATGAAAAGTCGCTTGCATACTCAAATGAATTATTAGAAAATGAGCCTAATAATGCAGAAGCATTAAGAAATCGTGGATATACTTATCTCATGACGAACAGGCTTGATGTGTCACTCGCAAATTTAAATAAATCAATAGAAATTGAACCAAACAATGCAGAAGCGTTAAGAATTCGTGGAGATACTTATCACATAGTGAGCAGATTTGAAGAATCACCTGCAGATTTAAAAAAATCATTAGAAATTGAACCAAATAATGCAGAAGCATTAAGAATTCGTGAAGATCCTTATCGCATGATGAAAAGATATGAAGAATCACTTGCAGATTTAAATAAATCATTAGAAATTGAACTAAATAACGCAGTAGCATTAAGAATTCGTGGAGGTGTGTATTATCAATTAGATAGATATGATGAATCACTTGCAGATTTGAATAAATCACTAGAAATTGAAAAAAATAATTCAAAAACATTGGCATATCGTGGAGATACTTTTCGCATGATGGGCAGATACGATGAATCACTTGCAGACTTAAAGAAATCATTAGAAATTGAACCAAATAATGAACTTGTATTAAGACGTCTTGAAGAAACCTATCGCTTATTGGATAGAAAAATAACTTATAAATATGAAAAAGTTAATGAAAATAAAAAAATCCGGTTCTCTTAATATTATGGTTTATTCATATAAAGTAATTCTTTAATTCAAAACTGTTCTATATGGGGTAGCATTGTTCCTAGCTATCATAACTAATATATAAGTTTAGCGATCAATATGATCACTATGCATATAAGCAATCATTATGGCAGATCATAATGAAATCGGATTAAAATGAAACTGGGACCTTTCTTGCTCATCTTTAAAGCTTATTCCCACTTATACTCTTTTATTAATAAAACTAACTCTAAACCCTAACTCTATCACTAACCCTAACCCTAAAAAATATCCCCCCAAAAAATTTAAATTTTCCTAAAAAAATAGAAAATTTTCATTTTAATCTGCCACAATTATTATATGTATCGGATAATTGCTTTAAGTCTTTCAAATTATTGAAATCTAAGCGATTGATTTTTATTCGTAAACCTCAGCAAAGAATGCTTAATAAAGGTAAATCTTCAATTTATTTCTGCGAATTTACATTGAAAAATCTAAACGGCAAGCCAACCGCATCAATGGATTCGGCTTCATATAATCAATATATAGAGTTTAGATGCGAAAGAGACGTACAAGTTTGGCGAATGGTGAAATAAAATCTGGAAACAGACTAAACTACCAAATCATAGCAATCTCCATTACTTTGGAATATATTGGAACAATGAGATAGGGTACAATTTATGATGACCACAATTCTCTTTACTGATTTAGACTACCAGACAGAGTTTGAGTTGAAATTATCAATGGTTTTAGAAATATGGTATTAATGAAGCTTTATTAACGCTTGTAAAACTACTTTAGCGATAATATTGTAATATGTTAAAACATTCTATTCATGGTGTTGAGGACACTTTATTTATAAGCAATAAAATCTATCCTTTTACATCTCAATTATAGTCATTATAATTCTTATAACTATTATATTCATCATCCCTCCTATCTGTCTTATACTCCCGATATATTATATGTAATATAAGCTGGTTACCCGATTTTTATGTTTGTGGATCATTGTATGGACATTTTGCGCTTAGACCATATATAACTATATAACATAAAGGATACAAATTACTCTCACTATAAAAAATTAATCTGCTGTACCTTAAAAACTCGGAAAATAAGCACCCATCCTCTATTCTATTTTTTAATCTTATATTAGATAAAATCTTTAATTAAGTCACACCCGTTAATCTGAGATTGAAAAGTGTGGAGGATTTTATGCTTATTATCCTGGTTTTTATATTGAGCTTTAGTAAGGCTATTCTTAAGTTTAATCAGTTTTCAGTTTATCATGTTAGAGAATAATTTATTTTGTACAGTATTTTGCACAATTTGTTAGGCTTTCTGATTAACTTAGCAAGTATATTTATAACAATTTAATGAGATATAAGTCAATAGAATAGAGAAAATTTAATATTTTGTTTCAACAAAAATTAAAACTTATCTGAGAAATATGATAATAAATCTTTTAAAATTAAGAAAGTTGATAAACTGAATATTTTGACAAAATAGGAAGATAAATACAAACAATTGAGTGTCTCTTGGAATTGACTTTGCAAAGTCCTAGAAGCTAAATTTGATAAGGGCATAAAGTAATTCGACTTAAAGAACTAGAGATTCACGCGAGGATGCCAAAAAATAATATCGATTTACTACTTAAAAATTGAATAAAATCGAATTATAATTCAGATATTATGCTAAAAACTATTAGAAAAAAATATCAAGAAGCAATTGTAAATTACTAAGTAGAACAAATATACATATTCAAGCCAGATTAAAAAGAAAATAAGGCATATAATACATATTATACACTTCTTCTTGGTAATATTTCTTGTTCTCAAAACTATGTCTTGATTTGTATCTTCAGCCTTATTAAGTTTATAATCTGGTACTCTCATCAGTACATTTTCATTGACGTTCTTATTATATTTATCAGTAGCATTATTTTTTTCTATATACACAAACTGATTAACCAACTTTTTCCATGTAACTGGAGTATAAATAACTGATATTATTCCTTCAAAATTTTTAATTAGATTTTTTACCAACTCATTTCCTTCATTATTAGGAAATACTATAAAAGTTATTACTAAATTATTATTATTCACATCTAATTCTCTTAATTCCAATAATCCCTTCATGACATCTTCTTTGTTATTTTCATAAAGACCTATGAATATTATATCATATGCAGGTTTACCGTGCAATTCTTTATAAACTTTGGCTGCTCTAATACCTTTGTCAAAGGTATCGAATGCATCAATTTTTTCGATTCTTTTGAGATATTTAAATATAGAATTTCTCACATTTTCAATTGGATGAATTAATAGTATTCGTTTTTTTCTTAGAGTATGCGGTAATACATATCTTATTTGTTTATTAAATTGTGTTTCTAACAGCGAAAGATTTTGAATTTTTGAAATGATTGGTGTAGTTGATAATAACTCGACATTCCATGTAAACCAAAATTTATTTCCTTTTCCTAGCTGAGCTTCTGCTTTAATTTCTCCTCCGTTAATTTCTACTATATTTTTACAAATTGAAAGACCAAGTCTCGTACAGTCTTGCCTCTTTGTTATCGATATGTCACCTTGTAAAAAGCTTTTCCAAGGATGTTTCATATATTCGGGATTCATACTATTTTAATTAAAATATTAACCGACACATATTCTGAAAATGTTTGATATTTATAATCATAAAATACCTTACCCAATACCATTATTATGTAATTCAATCAATAAATTCTCCTTTCTGCCCATTAGACCATGGGTAGCATTCCATTCATTTTCATCAATGTTTTTTTGTGATTGCATTGAAATTGTCAATACGATTTCACCTTGCTCAACTAATGTAATTCTATTATATAATAAATTATATAATAAGTATACAATAGGTTATATAGGCAATGTAATAAGTCAAAAACAATAAAAATGTTAAAATAATAGTTACGAATTTGATAATAAATAAGATAGAACTTGGTTCAGTCTATTTAAAATATAAGAGGCAAAGTAATTAATAATCTTATTATTTGCACATTTTATCATATAAGTACATTAGCCAATAACCTTTCAGGATCACTTTTAACATATCTCGGCAATTCATCTGCATCGCAATTTACAATTAGTTCGATTTTTTTGCTTCCAGCCCTTTTTCCGAATGTCTCAATTATGTCATCGAATAATTCTAGTAAATCAAATGTCCTGTTTACTAGAGTAATTTTTTGTGGTTCTAATCTTACTGTATCAAGAATATTCTTTACTCTAGATAGAACGATATCGGAAGTATGTGTCATGACATTAACCATATCCCTTTGATCAGCAGTTAAGGTATTACGTTCGAAGGAAGAAAGAATGCCCACTATTGCCCCTAATGGTGTGCGTAATTCTATAATTAAAATCAATTAGCAATGACACGATAAAATTGATAAAATTTTAATAATATAAGACTATAATAATGAGATACCATGGGAAATATTTGCTAATACTTGACTTTTTACTTTATTTGCAAATTCTGCAGCTTTTATTTGAATTTCCCTTTCTTCATTCTCTTTTAACAAGTTTGCATGATTAATAGCTAAACTTATTTGATTCGATATTTGTTGTAATAATTCTATTTCAGAATCAAGCCAACTTGAATTTGGTGACCTATATACTTTTATCCATCCCCAAAAACTATTATTTAATCTCACTTCTGAAGATAATATAGATACATTTTTATGAACATCATCACAATATACATCTAAAGATATATTTATTCCTGAATTATCATTTAGAAATTCATGTGAATTTGTTTGATATTTAAGCTTATCATTATTGTTGTCATTAATTTCCGTAAATAGATTATTAACCAATGTTACACTTTCTGAATCTTCATATGAGGCAACTATTTTATTATCCATTAATTTTAACCGTTCATTTGAAATAATTAATACTTTTTCACTTGGAATTCTTTGATGAATTTCTTTAACAACATATTGCAATGTTTCATTCATATCTAATCCGGAAATAATCATATTTGTTATTGAAATCAATAATTGTTTTGTTTCTTCTTGTCTGCATTGATGAAATAATATTTTACGACGAAGAACTGAGAGTTCAATATTATTGCGAATACGAGCAATTAATTCTCGAGCGGAAAATGGTTTTACTAAATAGTCATTTGCCCCTTTATTCAGACCTAAAAGCGATTGTTATTTGAAAACAAGAATGATATAAGGAACGGAAGATATCCTATTATTAACGTTAGTCTAATACAGTTAATATATCTACCTTTGATTTCAGAATCTTCACAAGCTTTTGCGGATAATAATATTACAGGAATTAATTGAGTTTTTACATTAGATCTTAATATATCTAGTAATTCATATCCATTCATATTCGGCATCATGATATCTATTAAATAATATAATTTAAAATTTTATATCAAGTCGAAATATCATTATTATATAATTACTTACCGCTAAGGACTAAATCAGGTAAACCTTTAAGCTTTTTTAAAACTCTTAAAGCATCTTTACCATCACTGGCACGATATATGTCAAATTCTTTTAGTAGATCTGTTAAATGATCTCTATAAATGTTAATAAGGTTTAAGTTAAATTTCTTATCAAAAATATCAATTTAAGAATAATTAATAAAAACACAAAAATATTACCGCATATCGTTATTATCATCAACAAGTAAGATTTTATATTTTTTCTCGACATTAATCGAATTATTCGTAGGAAAGTTAAAAGATATTTTTTTCATTGATATTTTGTCATTACTATCAATATCTGTTTTCCAGTCATCTATTGACAATTGATTTACTGTGTCAACTTTAGCTTCTGTAGCTTCAGATGTATTATTTTTTATCCATTGAGAACTTTCTTCTAAATAAAGTTGTCGACTAATATACAATTCTCGATCATGATTTGTTGAATTTTCAACATTATTAAAGTGTATTTGATCTTTCGGTAAATGTTGACATCCAATTGGAAACCAACATTTAAATGTTGTTCCTTTATTTACTACAGATGTTACAGTAATATCTCCACCGTGAAGTATAATAAATTCTTTGACAAGAGCGAGCCCTATTCCAGTACCTTCGTGACTACGTGAACCCTGAGATTTTACACGATAAAACCGTTGGAATATATTTGGAAGAGCAACTTCTGGAATACCAACACCTACATTAAAAACAGCCAATCAGGATATATTAATAATATTAAAGCCAAAAGTTTGAACTGATATATAATATATCAGCTATTATGCAACTTT